TGTGGTGAAACATTTTCTCCAATGGCATGAAGTATCGTAAGCATTGCTGCATCAGTTTTACCAGCACCAGTGGGAGCACAAATCAACATGTTTTCGCTGGTCTTGTATGCTATTGGATAGACCAAACTTTGCATTCGATTGAGAGACTTGTAACCCTTGAAAGTTCTCTTGCAAAGGCCATCCATCTCAGAAATCTCGACAAGTCTTCGACCTGCACCTAAAGTTCCAACCTTTCCAGCCGGGACAGTATATTCCGAGTATCTCTCGTGTTCTGTTCTCTCACTACCCACCGGTAGAGCATACTTCTTTCCTCTCGAATCCAGGATGTTACCAGCATGATGCGACTTGTACACGTGGGGGTATTTTTCTTCGTCGCGATTAATGGACGGTCCTAGTGCGGCATGTTTATGCTCATAATCTCTCTGTCTTAAGGCTGCTTCTCGTTCCTTCCTAGTCTGTAACTTTCCAGTAAAGATGCCGTCATCTTGAGTTCCAATAGAACGTGAAGCGGCGGTGATATCCTTACGGTGGGAGATGACTTCAATGGCAAATTCTATATCATCAAAGCCGATCATGTCAATCAAAGTGGATTGAAGCTCTTCCTCTCCACTATCAGACCCTAGAATTGCCATGATTTGTTCCTGAAGCTCGTTTCCTGAAAGTCCTTGCTTCCTCTGAGCAATCTCCATACATTTGCTCTTCAGCCATTGAGGTCCATAGTTGCCTGCACCTGCGGAGTCAGAAAGACTAGGAAAATCGTCGTTGACATCGCTGCTGGACAAATCATCATCCTCGTCACTGATGAAGTCCCAAACATCGTCCCCGCTATTTCCGGAAGTAAATTCATCATCGTCGTCGAAATCAACGTCGATATCATATGATTTAGTTTCCCCGTTCGTCGAGCTCGGAGGCAAATTCAACTCTGCCAAGGCGTTTTTCATAGCAGCAAGTTGGGCTTGCCATTGCACTTCAGCTGAGTCCCGCGTTGAAGAAGACATGATTTCCAAACAATCTAAATCAACTTCTCGAAAATGTAAAGTTCAAAGAAGATTTTAGTTTTTGCCATCATGAAATATAAATAAAGCTGCTTTAGCTGATTCACGCGGCGGGAAGTAATCAGTGGGGCCAACCGGGCATAATAAAATCCGTCGTCATACTGTAACCCCCATGTGATTGTACAGGATACAGCCCAGAGTTTCAACATCAAGAACAAAGCAAAGCCACATCCTTCCCAACCTACACCTATTTCCGCTATCTAGACTTCAATCATATCTACAATCAACCCCAAATCGCAAAAATGAAGTTGCATTATATCGGAGTTCGTTCGCAGATATCGCAGTGACAATGTTATCAGGCTGACCGCTATCAGATAATCAAGAACTCGGAGACCCCCTCACACGAGCTCTGCTGCGTGAAAGAGTTGAGCGCATATGGCCGATTTACTAGAAACAGGTTAGATTATTACTATCGTTCTGCGCGGGAACAGACTGGTTAATAGGATGAATGTACAGTTACGGCGAATTCATGACGGTTTTCAGTAAGACAGTCGCTGAACGAACAAAGCCTGGCCAAAGGCAAGACATTGAACAAGATAGTAAATCTCAACTCCTCCAAATTACACCAAGACCCTCTTCCTAACAATATCAGGTAACACATTCCATGCCTATGGACGTTCCGAAGGTGTTTGTGGTATAATAATTTCCGACCACGAATACCCAGCCCTCGTCGCCCATCAACTTCTCTCCAAAGTCGTCGACGAGTTCCTAAATGCACACCCTCGATCAGAATGGGCCGATTCAAACCCAACTCTCTCATTCCCCGAACTAAACGACTATATTGTGAAATACCAGGACCCGCAACAGGCAGATAGCATCATGAAAATCCAAAAGGAATTGGATGAGACGAAGATTGTGTTGCATAAGACTATTGAGAGCGTTTTAGAGAGAGGCGAGAAGATTGATACATTGGTGGCAAAGAGTGATGGGTTGAGTGCACAGAGCAAGATGTTCTATAGTGAGTTCTTTTTTATTACGATGGGAATTTACAAGGGCTTTTACTAATACATAAAATAGCACAAGCAAAGAAGCAGAACTCATGCTGCGTGGCTATGTAGATTGATGTATTTGGTTAGCTATGGCGTTCTCATCTTTTTTGATAGCATTCTCGCAGACATTGTTTCGATTGGAGGATGTAAATTGCAGTTTGAGGTTCGGGAATATTGGCGAGTGAGGTCGCAAAGTGGCTTAACTTTCAAGGCGACGTCTTAATACTTGAATGGTACAAATGCAAATGCTTGGTAGTCTTCAATATTTCCTCGTCATTCGTTGGCGAAATATAAAGGAGCATATGCTCTACTTTACTGTTTGCCATCTAGTCTATACCTCATCAGAAGCCTGAATGTGAGCCAGTTTGGTGCCCCTTTTCATATACAGTCTAAATCGTCGTGAAAAACTAGGACATAGCGTCGTTCAAGCTCAGCTCGTCTCGTCCTATAACATCGTGTACATGTTCCGTGTTCCTTCGTAGTTCTTGTTGAAATTTCGTGGGTATCTGCCTGTCCCCTTTCTCAGACAGGTAACTCTGCTCCCCTCATTGCAACTCCGCTTCTATCGACCATGGCTCCGATGTATGGGCCAATAATCGGTATGTTCCTTGCGAACCCAGCTATAGTCCCTAGGAAGTCACCAAACAAGATAAATATGCCGTACAATTCCACCAGAAATCCTGTAAATGGCCACCTCATGAGGATGAGTGCAAGTCCAGCGAAAAAGGCTCCAGTCCCCTTAAGCTTTTGTCTCCGCGCAAAGAACGCCATTGTTTTTTGTGGTCCAATTATGACAGTTAAGCCGATTAAAAAGAGAATCTATATCGACATATTGTAAGCCAGGAAGTCCTGTTTCAAATCCAGAGAATACGCACATTTCCCATTGCGAGCCTACAAGTTTGTTAGTATCACCTTCCTTTGGATCTTACGGAGAGTTCAAACATACATAGCTCTATCAAAAAACATCATAACACCTCCGATCAGGAAGAACCCGCCTTTCAAGACCTAATTAGCTACACTAGATCTGAAGCACAAACCGTAGAATTTCACCTACCACCTGAACAAAAGGCTACCCCAATCTCTATACAAAGTATCCATTAGCATAAACCCTACGGAATAACATAGCATGCTTGAACTGGATCAATTGAACTCGGCGCAAATGGTCCAGAACCATCTAGCTGTTGAAGTCAAGAACGTACTTTGGGAATCTGATAACCACATGGTAGGCATTTTGAATATCCTCCGAACCCGGGATTAGCAATGCGTAAGTATTTGGAGATTTCTACCAAACACACTCGTAGTACAACAGTTGGTAGTAGAAGTAAAGTTGTCCTTAATGATCTTTTGTTGGAGTTCATTGAAAGAACGCGGCTTAGACGCGTCCGTGCTCATGACATGAGTTAGCGTCATATGCAGACCACAAAAGCTTAAATATAAATTTTACTCGGATTTCTCGAGTCTCATCTTGTCTGACACTCTTCACCAAAGCTATTCTTTGAATTGAAGATATTGAAACAACCACAATCGATATGTCAATTAGTAATATTGACTAAAACATGAGATGTGTCGATATGCCAAGCAACAAGATTTGGAAGGAAATGCAAAGGAAATGTACTCTTTCAGGTCTCTCTTCACCTGCCTCGAAGTATCAATCCTATTGCACACTTGCATGAGGTAAAGTATTATGATTGCCACGACGAACCAGGACAATTTGTCCTGGTGACTGAGTTTCATTCTCTATATGTTCTCGGTACCACGTCATCTCTACTCGAGTAGGCAGATAATATTCATGATCGCGATTAAGCCGGAGCGTATTCCTGAACCAATCATTGAAAGATGATTGGTGGGTAGAATGAGCTTGACTTTGTCGGTCAGACATATCCTCGTACTGATTTCGACCATTCCTGAACCTTTCTTCTTCGACAGCCTGAAAGGCTGATTCTATCCATCTCAATCGTACAAATCTTCCACCCAGAAGTCTGTTCTTGCCCCTTGATCCTTCTGCCAGTATATATACACGAATATAGTCAAGTAACCATCCTGAACCTTCGCGCATTGCGCATCGCTTGCCAATCTTCGGAGATGGTGAACTGTGTGTTGAGCAAAGCCCAGGCCGAGCATTACACCTTTTCCAAATGCTCCATCGTAGTGCACTATCATCGCCCTTCACTTCAAGATAGTATGAGCTCCTCGTACTTCCAAATACTGCTCTGCAACCCCCTGACCTAAAGATCTAACAACCCCAAACACCTCTTTGTTGTGATATCGTAGCCTCGTCTTTGGATCTGTATATGGCGCTGGTAATCCTGTGATATCGCAATAATGTTTTGAATGTGCTAGAGACGGTGCTGATTCAATATTCGTGTATGTTGCAGTAGGTGCATTAGAAAAGCCGTTCGTCCTCATGTTTCGTTCCAATACCAACTTCGATAAGTTCTTGGAAGCTTGCGCGAGATTTGGTTGAAGTGTAGGAGCGCTCGTAGGGGCAGGTGTCATATCACCATCAGTTGAGGTTGCATTATCTTCAGAAAAGGGTGTTGCAGCACCGCTGTTATCTTGTGTTGGCATAAGTGACGCTTCCTTTCGAACGGCGTCGCCGAGAATGGTCTTAATATTCTTGTTGCGACGCTGATTAGGTCTCCAGTGTGTATTTCGAAAGGGTTTTCTTATTGAGTGGACATCAAGCTTTTCGATGAGCGCTTGATGAGCTTCAGCTTCTGGAGTTGCTGGCGCCATGATTGATGACGATTGGTGGTTGATTTATGATTGTTTGATTGAAGTTGAATTGAATTGCTCTGCCTTCCTTCCGCCTTGTTGATTGAGCTTCGAGCTTCACAACAGCCGACCAATCAGGCAACGCATGAAACTTGGGTCAATATTTACTATAAACACCAACAAAACAGTGACTTTGTCAAACATCACATTTCATAACCAAACCACATTGAAGGTAGAGACTATGGTAAGGTTAAATATGACAAGCTTCTATCGTATACAGGATAATGAACGTTATATAGGAAAATCCTCACGAGCACCAGCAAAACTTGCTTCTCTCACGAATCATCACCAACGTAGTAAGCATTTCAAGCACACCCACCAAGGTATCACACTAATTCCACTGCTAGGAGAAACTCAATGAAGCCATCATGCTTTTGAACAAGAATCTCCAGGTATGAGAGGGCTAGCAATCGCCGGTAAATGGTTACATGTAGCTGAACCAGAATTAGGAGATCAATAACGCAAACACCAATGTTGTTTTGGTTGCAGACATGTTCAAGAACTATCAATCCAATGTTCTCTTTCATTTAGAAGGTACTTAATTTTAACTGCCACAAGACTATTGCTAATTCGTTGAAAGCTACCGACAGTCTCAAAGAGCCATCATGATAGAACTGAAGAGAGTCTTCGTGGGCAAGGAGCTGGCGTTTTATGGCGGAGGTTGATACTTAGAATGATTTCTGATTAATGACTTAAAAAGATAATTTTCCACGACTTTTATTAAAAATATCCTACAAAATCTGGTGATGTAGATTGTAGATATACCTCGTAGATAGAGCAAGGTTAATCGTGATCTCCACAAGTAACTGATACATGCATCTCAGCCTTGCCACAAAAATCTAGCCTTGTGAAGCGACAACATCATAAAGAGCAATAATTACCACTAAAGAGCTTGTCGTTAATACGTGTACTATTTAATCGATTCTTTCGGTCGCAAGGGTATACAAACAATGATTTAGACCGCAACGAAAACCAACCACTACCTCTCTAGGAAGATGTCGCCCTCTGCCATGGACCTCGATGCGCCTGCATCAGAGCAACAAAACTCAATACCTCCTCCTACTCTATATCCTGCGAAAGATCTTCACTTTGACAAATATGTCGAGCCTCAGCCAGATGGATATCGAACAGCCAAATCGCGGGGATCTGGTCAAGCTGCGATAGTAATTGACAATGGTAATTCTGCGCTGAGCATTATGACTTGCACATCTCAAAGATACTAATACTTTTTGCTACAGGCTCATCGGTGACTCGAGCTGGCTGGTCCTTCGAGGACTCACCACGTCTCAATATCTTACCGCTTTTCTCTAAATATAGAGACAGGAAGATGGGCAAAACGTATTCGTTTGTTGGCGCCGATGTCTATGCAGATACTACAGCTAAGGGCCACATGAGAAATGCCTTTGAGGCGGGAAGCGGGATTGTTAGCAATTGGGATGTTATGGAGCAAGTACTGGATTGTATCTTTCTTAAATTGGGCGTCGACTCAGAAGGAAGTGTGGACATGCCTATTGTTATGACGGAAGCTGTCGCAAACTTACCGTACTCAAGGAAATGTATGGACTTCCCATTGAACCTACGAATTCTGCTAACGAAACGGGATAGCTATGACCGAAATCATATTTGAGTGTTATGGAGCACCATCTGTGGCTTACGGAATCGATTCTTTATTTTCGTACGACTACAATGGGGGCAAGACAGGACTTGTTGTATCTTCTTCCCACAGCTCTACGCATCTGATTCCGGTTTACAATTCGAAGGCCATGCTTACCCAGGCAACAAGATTGAATTGGGGTGCATCACAAAGCGCCGACTACCTTTTAAAGCTCATCAAACTAAAGTATCCTAGCTTTCCAGGAAAGCTGGCTGCCACTCAAACGGAATACATGGTACAAGATCATTGTTACTTATCCCGAGATTATGATGAGGAAGTGAGCAAGTATCTCGATTGGACAGGGTTGGAAGACAGAGACCGTGTCATACAATATCCGTATACAGAAGTCATCGAGGTACAAAAAAGCGAAGAAGAGTTAGCCAAGATTGCAGAGAAGAGAAAGGAGAGTGGTCGAAGATTACAAGAACAAGCCGCCAAAATGCGACTTGAGCGATTAGTTCGCAAAGAACAAGAACTTGAGTACTACAGACATCTACAAGGCAGGTTAGTAGACCAAACAAAAAAGGAAATTAAAAGATTACTCGACGCCGAAGAGTTGAAAGACGAAGCTGCTCTCGAAAAAACCATCAAGGAACTTGACAAAAGCATTCGTAAGGCTCGAACTAAGGATGTCGGTGGACCGGAAATCGAGGAAGAAGTCGAAGAACCAGATTACTCTATGCTTGAAATTCCAGATGAGCAACTAGACGAAGCAGGCCTCAAACAAAAGCGTCATCAACGTCTCATGAAATCCAATAACGAAGCCCGCGCTCGTGCCAAGGCAGAAAAGTTGGCAGAAAAAGCTCGTATCGCGGAAGAACAACGCATAGATGATGAAAAGCGAGAAAATGATCTCGAAGGATGGCTTCAAGAGCGTCGAGAAGCTCGAGCTACTATGCTTCAAAAGATTAAAGACAGAGAACGTCTCAAAGCAGACCTAGGAAACAGAAAAAGTCTCGCGAGTCAAATCCGTATGAAGAGTATCGCAAACCTAGCATCCGATAACCCGACTAAAAAGCGTCGTCGCGGAGGCGATGACGATAACTTCGGTCAGAATGATGATGATTGGGGAGTCTATCGTACCATACAAACTGGAGACGGCGGTAGTGATGACGAGGAAGAAGAAGATCCTAGCGTTCTTCTCAAAACCCTCGAAGCGGATCTCCTCAAATACGATCCCGAATTCACGGATCAACATACCTTTGACGCGCAAACCGATTGGACCAAATCCCTCATCCATGCTTTTCTCCGTGGACCACGACCCTTCAATCCGGCCAGCACGGCGGAAGCCCACCAACTCCATCTCAACGTCGAGCGGATCCGCGTCCCGGAAGTTATTTTCAACCCCAGCATAGCCGGGCTGGATCAAGCTGGAATTGTGGAAATCGCAGCCGATATATTAAACCAGCGTATTTCAGGAGCGGGCATAAATCAGAAGGACTTCCTGAAAGATATCTTTTTAACAGGAGGAAACACGATGTGGCAAAACTTCGATGAGAGATTGAGAGAGGGGTTGAGAGCAAATTTGGAGGCGGGCACGGAAGTCAAGATTCGTAGGGCGAAGGATCAATTATTGGATGCGTGGAAAGGGGCTGCGAAATGGAGTTGTGGGGAGAGGTGGAAGGAAGCGAGGGTTACGAGGGAGGAGTATCAGGAGAAGGGTGGGGAGTATCTTAAGGTATGTTTGTTTGTTTTTTGTTTTGTATGTTTCTCTTCACTTCATTTCTATCCCTTTCTCTTCCCTCCCATTCATCATCTTCCATTCTATCATCACCCCATCAAATCTCTACACCCAACCTCCGAATCCGAATCCAAATCTGGGTCTACATGGATATCCGCGCCCCAGACAGATAGATTCATAGACGAAGTACAAGAAGCAAAAACCACCACACTTGACTAACATATGCGTGCAGGAACACGATCTCGGAAATGCATATTCGTGATCGATCGATCAATCATTCAATCATGCAAGCAATTCAATAGCATAATCAAAATCAAAATGAAAATCAATAATCACATCATACATCATGCGAAGAGAGAGCATAGTGTATCCTATCCTATCACATCATATCATGTTATATCAATTCAAATAGTTACTTACTTACTTATTCATCTACTTACCTATCTACCTGTCGCATGAGTGAGATGGGATGGGATAATATGAGATGGGATAAAATGAATTGAAACGAGACGAGTTACATAAGTTGGCATTTGGTTCTGGTTCTGGTTCTAATTCTAATTCTAATTCTAATTCTAATTCTGGTTTATTGGTTTATAGGCGTTAGTTACCTAGGTAGTTCATGTTATATTATATTATTTTACATCTACAATATATCATTATTTTATCTTTATTTCACTGCATCTCTCTCTCTCTCTCTCTCCCCCTTCTCTCTCTCTCTCTCCCTCTCCCTCTCCCTCTCTCTCTCCCTCTCCCTCTCCCTCTCCCTCTCCCTCTCTCTCTCCTAATAGTCGGCTCTCATAAGCGGCCGACTAGTTCCTAGTCGGGGAAAGCAAATGTCCCCGGAAAGCAAATTGTCCCCGTGAGATTTTGGGTGTAAAATACACCAAAATCATTCAATTTTATTAGAAATCTAGTTTATTTTTAGTACACAACCTTCAATTTTTGAATGATTTTTGAACTTTTTATATAATTATATTCAATAAGATTATAGCTTTCTAATAATATTAGACTTTTTCGAATTGCTTCAAAATTCATAGTATTATTCATAAAATTCAGATATTTTTCAATAAAAATCACAAAATCTACACCAAAATCTCACGGGGACAATTTGCTTTCCGGGGACATTTGCTTTCCCCGACTAGGAACTAGTCGGCCGCTTATAAGAGCCGACTATTATCTGTTTGTCTGTCCTTATATTGTTTATCCATATATCATAGGAAACTCTATGGATGGGATGGGATGGGATGGGATAGAAACTTCAAATTATTATTTTTATGGGAATTATAAAAGGGAGGGGGAGGGGGGAGAGAGAGAGAGAGAGAGAGAGAGAGAGAGAGAGATCATACATCTAATAATAATAATAATAATAATAATAATAATTCTTATTATAATTACTAAACCTACTAGACCTACTAAACCTACTAAAATAAAATAAAACTGCATTCTTTACAATAGACAGGGAAGGGGATGAGGAGAAGCCATTGCACATCAAAACATCAATAAATCTATTTCAGAATCTTGAATTTTCATCTCCTTGACTATTTGATGAGCAAGCAAGCACGCAAGCACTCACGCAAACTACCTAGCAAGCTAGCTAGCTAGTTAGCTAATGATTACACATGCGCATATTGTCCACCCACCCATATAACATCCGCCTATCCACCCATCCACCAAAAAGCCACCGTGCTGACGGTTATCCCTCGGAGGAGTGTCCTTTCGCATACATATATATCAACATTTTTTCCACACAATTCTGAAGTTTCCATACCATGTTCCCACTCCACTTACCATTGAAAAAAGATACCTCCCTGTACTAGAAACCACAATGAATAAACACATGTGAAAGAAGCGAAGAAGGAGACATCGAGAAAAGTCAGAAAAAGATGAACGCCTTGGTAAGAAATGGTAAAAGCAGAATCAGCAATATTGATTGATTGAAACACCCCTATGAGAGTGGGGTACCACTTTTATATAAAAGTAGGAACTCCACCCATGTGCCCTATCATAGCAAACCATCCCAAATAGCCTCCGTCTTTATCAACGCCTAAAAAGCAGAAGGAGAACAAGTTAAATCCTGTGTGAGGTATTACATAGCCATAGAAGTTGGTAGACCGTCATTGGCTATTTGTCCACCGGCCAGCTGTGAGCGTATGAGGTTCTCGTCATTAGAATCGTCATCCTTGAATCGTTTGTTTTCTTGGTGAGGTGGATATGCCTGTTGCGGTTGTTGCGGTTGTTGTTGTTGTTGCTGGTGACCTTGCTGCTCTTCACTGGGATGTTTGAGACTGGCCGCTGCTAGAGTTCTTGCGGCAGAAGGTTGGAGAGCACCCATAGGGGCCATTGGGGCAATGGGAGCTTCATGTCGTTGCATATGATCTATTGGCTCCATTTGTCTTTGTTGAGGTGGTGGAGGATGAGGGTGCTGCGATGGATGACTTAAGTTAATGTGTGGTGGTGGTTGTGGAAATTCGCCTTGTGATTCAATAAGTCGAGATTGAAGACGGATAATGTACTCGCGCAGAGAGTAATTCTCGGCATGGATCGCCTTATAATTATCCTCGAGTGCATGGAAATCACGGACTTGCTCTTCAAGCTTCTTGATATATCCTTCTTTGCGCTGACGAAATGCTCTCTGTGTGATAGATTATGTAAGCTTGGGTAATGGGATTTTTTTGGATGACATGAGAATTGACAAAGCAAGAGAACCATAAATCTCAACCCGACGTTATTTTTTTTTAACGAGCGATACTTCGCATCATAGCAACCTCACAAAGAATGCGCCAATGATAAAAATTTGCGATACGAATGAAAATTACGAACCTGAGCTGCGCGATTCTGAGCTGCACGCTTCGATTGTGAAAGCTCGCGTTTTCCACCCTTTCTACCATCTGCGTCGTCTCCTCCGCTTTCCGACATCATTTGTCCACCGATAGCAGGATCTATATTATGGTCGTGAGGTGAAGCACTACTCGAAGCTTGCACTTCGTGGTTATAGCCATGTGTCTGAGTATTATGATGCTGAGACTGCGAGGTCAAGTTCAAGAGCTGAGCTCTTAAATCTAGAGGAAGAAGTGAGGCGCGTCAGCAGGAGGCAACATAAACATGGGTGGTGCTATGGGAGTAGGAACGAAAGTTTAAATCGCGGCGCGAAATTATATGAAGATAATTCTGACTTATTCGACTCGTATAGCCGCATATACCTTATACTGGGATTGGGGGAACAAGAAACCGTTGTTGTGCTTGGTTATCAAAGGAGAGAAGGGGATGTTATACCATTATCTGCACTCATTTCCTGCGCGAGTGAGTCAGCTTTAAGATGCAATATCTTTTGGGAGAGGGGTTGTAAGGTGTTCGCGAGCACGCGAATGAGAAAGCTCAAGCTCGAGACTGTTTTTAGAATTGAACGTTGAAAGGAATTGAATGGAGGGGTATGACAAGACAAGTGAGGTAAGTCCATGAACCATGAACCACCGGAGTTACAGGCAAAGTAGTGAATGGGGAAGGATTGATAATAGTAGGTAGTAAAAGTAAGAAGTAAACATGATGAAAAGAGGAATACGAACCTGATTCTGCATTTGTGCTACCGGCGCGGGCGCGATTGATTGCATGATGGAAAGTTGTTATCAAAATCGTACCTCGATAGGTAGTGTAGTAGGTAATGGATACTGCTTTTTGGGACGTTTGGTTGTTTGAGGGGGGTGTTGATAGTTTTCCAACTTTCTTGAGTTTTGATTTGCTTGACAAATAGATTTATCAGAATGTTGACGTGACCTTTGATGGTGGGTGACTGGGGTCAGGATGGATGAGAGGTAGATGGGTAGGAAGGTATTGTGGTGTGTAGTGTGTATGTAGTATGTAGTGTGGAGGAAATCGGCAAAGTAACCCTTCGTAAAAGTGTACGACCGAAAAGGATGAGGTAAATGTAAAATGTAAAATGTTAAAATGTCAACGGCTGAATTATTATGCTCTTTGGTCGATTGATTACTCTGTATATGATTTCACCGTTTCTCGGGCTGGCTGGATCTGAATGGAGGTTGCTTGCTTATACGGAACGGAGTAGGACTGGACTGGACTTGAACTGGATAGGACTGGATGGACACTACAGTACCAATTTGGAGAGAGACCGCGAAATTCCGAGAGATAAAACACGTGATAGTAGCTGGTGATTTCCTCTTCAAAGATTTTCCGAGTTCATATATATACCTAGTACTGGTGTTGGTATATACGGAGTACCTGGGTATCATATGAATGTGAATATAAATAATTACGTCGTCAATATTGAATCTTGAATCTGGAATATTTATAATTATACGTAAATATATGAATATATGAATATATGAATATTCAAGATCAAGAGTGAAGGATGAAAATGATGAGTAAGGACTTTATAAGTTTGACTTAACTTTCAAGGGAGAGGTATTTATGGTTCATTTTGAATTTTCAGACTAAATTTCTTTGCCTCTTCGCATTGGAACGTAATGGACTAGGCTCCTAGGTAAAAGTTGCTTATTTGCATCTTTCTCCGACCTTTCCGGCTTTGTTGGATTAATGATCAATTACTAATCTCATCGTCTTTGTCATCATCATCATCTCAAGAGAAACACAAACTCACTTGTACGAGTCTCGAGCGAGTGTATTGATCTGTTATAATCATTATTTATTCTCAGCTACCTAGGTAGTAATGAATATCAATTGAATCTTCTCGTACAAATACCTAGATATATATGAGGAGATAAATATGAGGAGATAAATATTCATTTGTTATTCATATGTACAAAAGCTACCTACATAACTACATACCTACCCTCCTACCCTACATACATTCCTGGGTGCAGGGCAGGATGGAAACGCTCCTTCGATCCTCGGCCTTTCGCTAATACTTCCGAATCCTACACTCCGGAATCCTTCCATCAAACAATTTGAAACAAACCATCTCCTTTCTCCTGCCCAGGGTGCCGAGTTCGAAAGTTGCATGAGGACTCATGTACGACACATGCGCTATGATAAACTTGGGAAGGTGATACTCGTAGAGGTGAATTAAGGCTTGCTTGGGAGATTGCCGCGCTTCAGCCTTACCACAAGGTCATTCATTCCATTCATTCCATTCATTAACCTTATCAAACGGAAATGGCGTGTGTCAACTTCCTGTCAACTATATTCGTTTGTTACTGTTGACATGGGGCCGGTCGCTGATTGATAGCTCTGACATTCAAAGGCTTTCTTTTAATTCTTGGCCTTCAAAAAGAAGTCCGCTTCAGTTTA